ATTAATATAGGTTTATTGTAATAAAGTTTCTACTATGACATTATATTAATAAAAAAAAAAAAAAAAAAAAAAAATATAAATTCACATAATTACGCAATATACAAACTTTGGACTAAATGTCTTCATGCCCTTGGTCAAGAGTCTTTATAGTTCATATATCGATATGAAAAATAAATCTGGTTCCAAACTCTAGTTGTGCTAAATTAGTCTCCAAAGTTTGTATTACATGATATAAGCATTGCGCCAAAGTTTGTTGTAGATAACTAAATGCCGAGCACTGCTACTATAATAGTTATATCATATAATTTGAACTTCAGAAGCACTCTGGCTAATTTGTGTATACAAAAAAATAAAAAATTCCCAAGTATATAATATGCTATAATGTTTACCTCTATTAAATTACGTTAATTATTTTTAATATAATGTGTGCTTATATAGAGATAACCTTTATAAAGTCACACCTCTTTATAATCACCTAGTTGGTACGTACCCAACAGTGTGATTATAGAGGAGGATGACTGTAGTAAGAATATTAAATAATTATAAACAACTTACAATACAAATTTATTTATAAAACTGTTTAAATAATTTAATTGAGTAGTATTTAGATTATTTTTGCAATATAAATAAATTATATATAATTAAAATAATTATTTTTGGAAATGCCTATTTTAACCATAGTAATTTGCTATTTTCACTATGAGTTATACGAAAATTTACAAGATTTTCTATTTTTTGTATTTATATATAGTATAACCTGTCAAAACTGATATGCATGGTAAACCAAATTTGTATTAGTTTTGACAAGTTATTAGGTTTGAAGAGTAAAATTACTATATTTAATTAAAAAATGGTGGATCAATTTTTTATCAGGTTTGACAAGTTATCAGGTTTAACAGTATCAGTTTTGACAGGTTATCAGTTTTGATAGTATTAGTTTTAACAGGTTATCAGTTTTGACAGTATTTGTTTTAACAAATTATACTGTAGTAAAAATTAGTTTTTTTTAAAAATTGAATTTTTTTTTAATATATAAACCTTTCTTTTAGCTTTAAGAAAAACTCTAGAGGAGATTTTTCTGGTTCTAATGACGGTTAGATCATTAAAATCAGCTTGGTGAATCCCAAGATATTTGGGTTAAAAGTATGAATATAAAGATTTACAAATTCACTATTACACAAAGTATTATAAACTATTACTGTATAATAGTAAATTTGTAAATCTTTATATTCCTGGCTTTAACTTTAAATATCTTGGGATCTACCAGGCCGATTTTAATGATCTAACCACAATTAAAACTAGAAAAAAACCTTCATACAACTATTCTTAAAGTTAGAAAAAAGGTTTACTTATTAGTTTTAGAGTTAGGGTTAGAGTAATATTAAAATTTAAAACTAAAATTAGGGTTATGATCTAAAAATAAAAAACCTTGTATAACTATAGTAGAAATAGCAATTCCCTTATTTTTATATAAAAACATATAAATTGTTAATACTATAGCATTAAAACTACATCTAGTTCTAAAAAATCTTTATTATAAAATTATTTATTATTAATAAATATTTACCAATTGTTAACTTTTGACCTAATAATTTGATTTGGATATTTTTACCAACAAAATAACAATCTCGATATGATGATTTTAATGATCATAAAATTTTCCAAGTCCAATTTAGAAATTATTAGAGTTTTTATACAATTTCAGATATTTAAATTGATTTAGCTAATTTTAATATATATAAAATAGTACAAAAATTTTAATGATCTTGGAATTCAATAATTAAACTTGAACTAAAAATTAATATAAAATAGAATATAAATTAAGGAAAATTAATATAGAAAATTTATTATACAAAAAATAAAGATATAACTTAGATGCAACTGTAGTTCTTGTGCTATTACTACATCTTTATAACAATAATTTAATTAAAAAAAAATTTTCTAAATAATAATATCAAATCTTAATTAAAATATAACTTGAACTAAATATTATTTTATTTAAACTAGACAGCTAGTACAATTTCTAAATTTAAAATATATATATTTTTAATTTTTTAATTTTTTGTATAATTCTTCAAAACTATCTAATAAATTTAAAAATATATATTAGGATATAAGCATAGTAATAGATAAAATTAAATTAATTTAACAAACCATTATTATCTGTTATTTTTCTTTTACGAGAAAGTGCATGATTGTAATTGTCTATAAATTTGGAATTAAAAAAAATTACTTATTAAAAGTTTTATAATTTTTAAATAAACTATATATTAGATATAAGCATAGTAATAAATAAATTAACTAAAATTTAACCAACCATCAATATCTAATATTATTCTTTTATGAGAAAATTCATGATTATTATCTATTAATTCAGAATTTAAAAGGTTACTTGTTAAAATCCTTACAATTTTTAAATAATATATATAAACATAGTAATAAATAAAAATTAAATAAAATTTAACAAACCGTTAATATCTAATAATTTTCTTTTACGAGAAAGTGTATTATTGCCATTATCTATAAATTCAGAATTAAAAGAAGTTGCTCGTTAAAAACCTCATAATTTTTAAATAGCCTATATATAAATATTAATATACCATTATTATTGCTTAAAAGGGTTGAAACACTAAGTTGGCAAAGTGTTGAATCTATTACATATGCAAATTAACTTAAACATTTATTTTAAATAAAAAATTAAAAAATATATTAAGAAAATTCACCTGCTTTATTGATTTCAATCGATCTACTATAAGCTTGTATAATTTCTACCGTATTTATAAGTTTGTTTGTATACATAGAATCTGGATGTTTCTTTAAAGTAGCTGAAAATGTTTTAATATCTTGTATATTTATAAGTTTACTAGCAAATTTAAAATCCGAATAACTTGGCAATGTGTTAGGCAACGATTTAGTCACTTCATTAGCGATAAAATTCTCTCGTATTTCAAGCTTTTCTTTGTCATTTGCCGAGTATTCTCGAACTCTTAAAATTTGCTGCCACTCATAAATTTTCAAACTAATATCTTCAGCAGTAGGTCGATTCTGTGGATTCGAATCCATACAAAGTTTAGCTAATTCAACATAGCAATTAGGAGTTCCAGGTGCAAATTCTGGTCGTAGTCCATGACAAATTTTTATTGCAAGTTCAGTATCAAATTGATATCCATCGTAGGGTCTTTCTCCAGTTGACACTTCTGCCATAATAACACCAAACCCATAAATATCAGCTTTTGGTGTGTAATCACCGCCTAACAACACTTCTGGGGCAATATAAGGCATAACTCCAATGATATTTCCCTTTGAAAGCTGGTCATCATTTTTTCTCGATAATCCTAGATCAGCAATATAACATTTCATATAGCTAATATATTTATGTATCAAAATATTTCTGCTGTGAAAATCACCATGGATATAATCAGCCTCGTGAATTTTAGCCAAATCATTTGATATATCCCAAAGTAGCCATAATTTATCTTGCCACTTGATTTTTGAAATTTCTAATTTTAAAAATTCATGGAGATTTCCTTTATTTGCATATTGAAACACCATCATATATTCTTTAGTTTCAGTATTTTGGGTTAATCCATAAATTTCGAGAGAACAGCCTTTTAACCTACAGTGCATGTGATTTTTAAACTTAAAAAAACAACCATTTAAAAATTAATTTATAATGTAAAGATTACGAAAATAAATAATTTAGCTTACTTCTTGTAAAAAGTTTGAAGAATTCGTCCGAAAATCTGTTAAAGTCTTAAGTGCAACTTTACTATATTGTTCACGTAGTGGTATTTTATTTTCAACAACTCGGATACCATCAAGCCAAATTGCTGAATATACTTTACTAAATGCACCTTCACCGATCTTTATAATATTAGTTAACCTGTCAAATGGAATCCATTCAATCACCTCGTTGTATTTAGCAGATTTAAGTTGAAATTCTTTAATACAACCATCAATATCCTGATTTCCACTTGTCCATCCTTGACTTGTAATATAAGGATCACACAAATGACACCAAACCGGTGAAGTATTATATCGAGTGCAATTTAAGCAATTACCAAAATCAACTTTTCTTAGAGAGGAGAATTGATTTATTCCATCAGCATGTCCCATATCTGCAGATTTTTTATAAAATTTGAATGCCTCATGTTCATTCTTTTCAGTTCCAATTCCGTTCTTGTAGCAACGTCCAATATTATATATACTATCTTTATGTCCGATTTCTGCAGATTTTTTATAATATTCGAATGCCTTCTTTATATCTTTTTCAACTCCTATTCCATTTTCATAGCAACGTCCAACATTATATATTCCATCCATATGACCCATATTTGCAGATTTTTGATAATATTTAAACGCATCATTTCTATCTTTTTCAACTCCTATTCCATATTGAAAACAACGTATAACATTATATATTCCACTTACATGTCCTAGATCTGCAGATTTTTGATAATATTTAAACGCATCCTTTCCATCTTTTTCAATTCCTATTCCATATTGATACCAACGTACAACATTATATATTCCCCCTACGTGTTCTAAATCTGCGGATTTTTGATAATATTCGAATGCTTTCTTTGTATCCTTTTTAACTCCGATCTCATTTTCATAACAACGTCCAACATTATATATTCCATCTATATGTCCCATATCTGCAGATTTTTGATAATATTCGAATGCCTTTCTTATATCTTTTTCAACTCCTATTCCGAATTGATAACTACGTGCAACATTATATATTCCATCTATATGTCCGATATCTGCAGATTGTTGATAATATTCAAATGCCTTCTCTATATCCTTTACAACTCCTATTCCGTTTTGGTAACAACGTGCAACATTATATATTCCATCTGTATGTCCCGTATATGAAGATATTTGATAATATTCAAATGCCTTCTTTGTATCTTTTTCAATTCCTATTCCATTTTCATAACAACGTCCAAGATTATATGTTCCATCAGTTTGTTCCATGTCTGTCGATTTCTGATAATATTCAAATGCCTTCTTTATATCTTTTTCAACTCCTATTCCATTTTCATAACAACGTCCAACATTATATGTTCCATCAGCATGTAACATTTCTGCAGAGTTTTGATAACATACGAATGCCTTCTTTATATCTTTTTCAACCCCTATTCCATTTTCATAACAACGTCCAACATCATACATTCCACCAGTATGTCTTATATCTGCTGATTTTTGATAATATTCAAATGTTTTCTTTATATCTTTTTCAATTCCTATACCATTTTCGCAACAGCGTCCAACATTATATATTCCGTCTACATGTCCCATATCTGCTGATTTTTTATAATATTTAAATGCCTTCTTTATATTTTTTTCAGTTCCAATTCCGTTCTGATAACAACGTCCAGCATTATATATTCCATCAGCATGTCCCATATCTGCTGATTTTTGATAATATTTGAGTGCCTCATGTTCATTCTTTTCAGTTCCAATTCCGTTCTGATAACAACGTCCAGCATTATATATTCCATCAGCATGTCCCATATCCGCTGATTTATGATAATATTTGAATGCCTCATGTTCATTCTTTTCAGTTCCAATTCCGTTCTGATAACAACGTCCAGCATTATATATTCCATCAGCATGTCCCATATCCGCTGATTTATGATAATATTTGAATGCCTCATGTTCATTCTTTTCAGTTCCAATTCCGTTCTGATAACAACGTCCAGCATTATATATTCCATCAGCATGTC